GAAGCGCTCGGTAACCATAGCTGCTGCGGCCACCTTCGAGCTGCACGGACTCAGTGCCTTGGCTCCTTTCAAAAACGTAACCACGAGCTTTTCAGTGGGAGCAACTGGGCTCCGAGCTCTTCTGAAACCTGGCCCAGTCAGCACCGCCTTCTGGGGAACCCTCCAAGAGGAAACGGGTCCGGGATCTGTCTGTGTTGTCTCTCGTAAGTGTAAAATTAAGACAACTTGGCCAGACGACCGTTGCATTCTTTCAAACCAACAAGTCTTTGCGGCGTTATCTCCTCGTCGTCTCGTGGCACCTCCTTTCCTATGGAAATGGGCCCATCTGGGGATTCACGTGGTCCCGGGCAGATAATTGTAATGGTCCCCCCGGCCTTTAAAATCTATGAATCACTCCAGTATCGGGGCACTTTATGCACATTAGCGAATTAATCCTTACAGCCTCTCTGCAAGGGAGGGAATTATCGTTGTCATTGCTCAGATGGGAAATGGGTGAGATGGAGCCCAGCTCTGCGCAAGAACTGGGGGGGGGGGGGGGGTCACATCACTCACAGCCGTAACAGCTAACCTTTGGGCACCCAGCCCTTGGGGGCATCCGTGACCCTGCATTAGTTACCTCTGCGGTTGTGCCAAGCGAACGGGGAATATCCATCCAGCCTGCCACGCGGCTAGAAATCCATCTGAGCCTTGTCACGGCGAGACGGATGGATGGGGCGTAGGCAGCGGGTCTGCCGCAGCCGGGAAGCGCGGGGAGGATGCGCTGCCGGGTGGGCTGGGATGCCCGCAGGACCTCCAGCGTCTCCCCGTGGTGGGGGCCTTGCTCCCCGCGCGCCGCTGCCTCCAGGCTCCCCAAATGAAGGAGGTCGGTGCCCCTCGCCCGAGGTGGTGCCGGGAGAGCAAGGCCAGGACACCCCAAAACCCCCCCGTCACCCTGCGCTGACGGCGCCGCGATCGCTCACTGTAGGGCGTCGCAGCAACCGGACGGACTTCGGGAGTGGAACCTGTTGGGGCTGCTTTTAAACTCGGCGACTTTGAGCTCAGCTTCTCCACCCTGGAGGGCTTGGTGCAGTCAGTTACCTCCAGCACTGCAGTTGTAAGACACGTGCTGTTTTCTTTGTGTTTCCCCTGGTATCCAGGTGTTCCGACCGTGTCAGGGCAGTACCGCGGTGTCCGCGGGCGGAGCAATGCACCGCTGTGCTGGAGTTCAAGTTAGAGCAGCGTTTCGGCATCCCCGTATTAACGACAGCTGATTCATTCAGCCGTGTGATGAACTCGACAGAGGCAGGTTTAGCTCCTCACCACTTTCAGGGCTGGCGAGACTGTACCAGAGCTTGTGCTTTCGGCAAGGTGGCCTCCTTTTTACAAGCGTGCGCCCACGGAACGGTTTGTGCTGTCGCAGCCTACACCCGGTCTATATTAAAACTGAATTTTGGCCAGGCGACCGGCTCGGTGCGCAGCCGGTGTTTATGTTCTCTGAAAATTACTGTCAAGGTTAAAAAATAGCTGTGCGGCTCGTGCGCCGGAGCTGCCGGGAGAGGCCAGCGAGCGCCTGGGCTCCTGCGCGGCCGGAGGGTTGGACGTGGTGGGTTCGGCGCTCGCCTGACCCTCCTTCTGCGTCGAACGCGGTTGTAGGCTTTACAAAAGCCAGGAAAAACCCCGAGCAACCTCTTGTTTCTCAGGTTGTGCTTATTAAACCGATGGAAAAACCTTCCGACTAAAGATCCAGGCTGCAGCCTACTGCATTTATTCTCTGGCGCTTGCTCTAACAGCGATGGCACGTTGATCCAGCTGGAAGTATTGTGTCCTATTAAATAAAGATTTTTAAATGAGCACATTTATTCATCGAGCTGTCGCAGCTCGTTGAGTAAAGAATGCTGGACTGGCCAGCCTTAGCCTGCCTCAAATCTGTTTTCTCCAAAAAGCTGTTCCAGTCTCTGGGGTAAATAAACCCAGCCCCATGTTTACCCAAACCCCAAACGCTATCCGTGTGCTCTGTCCCCTGCACTGAAGGCAGCCGTGGGGCTGTCGTGGGAGGAGAGAAAAGCAGAAATCGGGGCTGCCTGTGGTGTTTAAACTCTTTATTTTACCCAGCCCTTTGCTGTTGCAGCGTGAAGGGTCGCTGCTGCTTTCGGGGCCGATTCGTGGCGCGGAGGCAGCAGCGTTATCCCAGCGCCTGTCCCTCGCCCCAAAGAGTTTACAGTCTACATCTTCTTTTTAATTCAGACGCCCGCAAAATAGCAGGCTGAAATAACACTGCTATATGTCAGCTGCTGATGGAAGGAGATTAAATATTAAAGCCAGTGCTGTGGCTTTAACTCATTCCATTTTTTTTTTTTTTTTCCCTACTCTTCCCCCTTTCTCCCCCCCTGCTTTTCTTCTCTGTGTAAAATGACATGATTTAGAACTGAAGTGCCAGACTCAGCCTCTAGGTTTCGGCGTTTGGAAATGTATGTAGAAAGATATATTGTGTCTGTGAGCGTTTCTGTGCAGAGAAAGAGAGAGCTCCCAAGCTAGTGAGACCACATAAAGATGTTAAATAGAGCTGTAACGCACACCGAAAGCAGGAAAAGTGCCCTAGAAAAAAAAAAAAAAAAAAAAAAAAATCCTGCAATGGAGCAAAATGAAAGATTAAAATAAATTCGGTGGTACCGAGGCTGAGTTGAAACATGCCCCTCATGGAGCCGGGGCTGGCGGGGAAAGCACGGAGGGGGGGAGAGAAATGTGACCCCATTCCCTGCCTCTTCCTCTTGCTGCTTCCCTCATTGACCTAAAAATCTCCCCATTTCTTTAGTAGAAAAACGAGTCGGAGAATTGGGAATTTTCTTCCTTTCCCTTTTTTTCCCTGTCTCCGCACGTTTTCACGACGCCGCTGGAACAGCGGCCGCCTGCCTGCTAAATATTCATCTGAAACCGGCTGCTCCTCTGTCCTCACAAAAAAAACCTGATTTATTTTTCTCGGCTTACCGTAACCCACCTATTTTCCTCCGCTAACGGCTCGTCACCGCATCGCAAGGGGCAAGTAGGGTTGGCAGCCAAGTACGTTAAAAGCCAGGGTGGTTTTGGGCCAGAAACATGACAAAGTGTCGGTGCCCACCCTTTCTCCCCCCCTTCCACGAGCGCTTTATGGTGCGATGCAAAACGATGCTGCAAATTTTGTCTCTCCTCGGAAACCGGCGGCGGCGGTTCGCTCGCTTCTCCTTTGTTCGGTGGCGTTTTGGCATCGCCGAGATTTGTAACGCCGTTTGGAAATGAGTCACGGTTAGGCTGGAGCAGAGCTGAGGGGTTTTGGAAGCTGTGGGGAGGAAAGAAACCCAGAAACACGTGTATCTTTAGCAAAACCGTTGAGAAATTTTATTTAAGGTTTAGTTACGGATCAGATTGAGGAGTGGTGGCTGGGAAAGCCAGAGTGTGTGTGCTGGGAGTTACACGGGCAAAAACCTCTTTGGTTTTTCTCCCTGCAAGTGTGCTCTGACCCGCCAGCTCGAATTTCTTCTAATCTGGGCCCCAGTTCCGAGTCACCGTCAAAAGCACCTTTTGATGCAACGCGTTTGAAGGACGCTTTGCATATTATTGCACTTGTTATTGCGCCAAAGGGGAAGATGGATGGGATGCGTGCGGATGCGCCCGTTGTCTCGGCAGTGCTGTCCCTTGCCACCTCCAATGTGTGTGTGTGTGTGTGTGTGTGTGTGTGTGTGTGTTTTTCCCGTCCCCCCCCCCCAAGCCACACAGCTCCCGGGAAGGCGCCGCGGCGGCTTCCAGCCTGGAAAACGCAGATTTGCTCGATTAAAAAAATTGAGTCGTAAATAAGCGTCGGAAAGAACGAGTGAACCCGGGGTGTCACGCTTGAGCTAATTCCCAGAAACAGGTGGCTTTGGGTTGGTTGGCTTGTTGGATGGTTTAAAGAGAGAGAAAAAAAGGAAGGGGAAAAGGGCAGAAATTCTTTGCTGCAGCAACGGCTTCTTTCTAGAAACGAGCCTGGTGCTTGCGTGGCTCTTGGATGCATAAAAATCCTGCAGTACGGCCCGTGCAATGCCCTCAGCCTCCCGGTTTGTCGCAGTCTATTAGGAGAGGCGCAATCCATCCTCGGGTCTTTATGATTATTTGCTTTAACCCCATCCCTGCCTCTTCCCCCCCCCCCCCGCCGCCCCCCCAACCCGTCTTCAATCTCGATGCTTGGGGCTGGTGCAGCCGTTCAAAGCAGCCCGGCAGCGGGTCGTGCTGCCCTTTTGTCTGGCTTTCAGCGATGGCCCCACGCACCCAGCCCCACCACCGGGCTCTCACAGGGGCAGACGCCGGCCCCCCCCCCCCCCCCCCCGGGGCCCAGCAGACCCCTAAAACCATCCCGGGTGGGTTTTTCTCCTGCGGTTTCTCCCGCAGGTGGGATTTCACTCGGCGTCTTTACGGGAAACGCATCCCCGGTTCGCCGGTGGCCCCGTGTTCCGGGCTGCGCTGTCGCACAGAGCCCCCCCCCACCCCGGGCAGGGACAAGGGGGGGGGGGGGGGGCAGCCGCCTCCATCCTGCTCCATAAAGCCACGACCTGAATTGCCAGACAGGCACCAGCTCTGTTGCACACCATCCCCCAAAAAGTAGTTGCCCGACCCCCCCCAATAGCGCCTAATTCATCCCTCCATTAGCCAGCAATAAAGTGGCGCATCGCACCGAACCGGGGAGGGGGGGGGGGGGGGTTTGCATTTCCTAGGTCGGTTGCAGCCGCTGCGTGGCCCCGCTGCTTTAAAAAAAAAAAAAAAAAAAAAAAGGATTATTAAAAATATTTGTCCCCCGTTCCCCAGAAGCCCCATGTAATGGCTTTTTCATTTTGAGCAATGTGTTCACACACCGCTTCTCAAACAATCTGTCCCGCTCTGGTTTTGCTTAATGCTCGGCAGCGATTGTGTTACAGTTGCTCTCCGGGCGGCTCTCTCCCCCCACCCTGCTGCAGGATGTACCCGTAAAACACAAAATGCATTTATTCACGATTTTCTAAATTGTTTCATTTCAGAGGTTTACAAACGAGGACCACCTGGCGGTTCATAAACACAAGCATGAGATGACATTGAAATTCGGCCCTGCTCGAACTGACTCAGTCATCATAGCAGGTATGTGGCGTTCAATCCAGGCCAGCTCTGAAAATGGTGCACATTAATATAGCATGACTGCAAGATTAATACCAGGGACCAGATGCACTGAAAAACGTCTCTACCTCCCATAAAAAGCTCTTGTGATCTGCATTTAATCAGGAGGAAAGGAAAGCCAGAGGCTTCCAAGTTTCTATTTTTTTTCTTTTTTTATGGTAGTATCAGGTTTTGTGGGGTTTGGCTTTTTTTTTTTTTTTGGCTTTTTTTTTTTTTTTTTTTTTAGCTCTCACCCTTTTTATTAAGACTGGAAGATTTATGGACAGAAGGTCTTTCACATTTCTGCATGTGCTTTGAGGACGATGAACAAAATCTGACAAACCCAGCTTCCTCTCCTCAGCCCAGGTGTCAATTTTCCTGAGCTTTTAGGCTAGCAGTTAATAAATTAAAACGCCATCGAGTGCACTGGCTACTGCCGAGAGTGCATTTGCGGAGCCCAAATGAGGCACTCTGGCAGTGCCTGGTCAATGCAGCCTTTATAAGATTGGGGAAAAAAAAAAAAAAAAAAAATCCTGTATATTGTTGTCTGGCAGCAGATCGTTGCCGGTTACAGATATTCTCCTGCCTTGTCAGTCCCTGTTCGTTCGGGCTTCTTAAAAGAGCGTGAGGTTTGTGTTACTGCTGGATGAAAAGGCTGTTGCTGAGAACAAGAAGAGAGGAGGAAATGCTTTCTGAAGCCTTGAGAGTTCGTAAGGGGAAACGAAGAGTCTGCTGCAAGAGCCTGGCACCCTTTTCCCAGTTCATCCCCAGCCCAAATTCAGTGTTGAAGTAGGAAATAGCAGTTCAGCTGGTTTCTTAAAGCCTTCAAGTTTAATTGTAGCTGTGGGTAGGATTGTAAGAGCTTGCGCAGCCTTTGCTGGAAGGGCAAAAAGCTTCTCCCAGGGGACGGCTTGCAGAGACAAAACGGGCTCCCGGAGGGAGAATTAATTTCAAATGGGATCAGGCTAATGGGAGTTGATGGCAAAGAATTGGAGGCAGGGGCTGAAAGGAACCTCAGATTCCTAAAGGTTGTTTTTCCTTCGGTTCCCCCCCGTTCTAAACAGGGTGCACAGCGGGAGGGTTAGCTTTTGCTTGATAAACCCAGGGTGTAAACTGGCCAGGCAGTGAGGGGGGAGCGGCAGTGGGGTACAGTCCTGTCCCCAGCTGAAGTCCCACCTGCTCTAACAGGGACGCAGCATTAAAAGCCCTCATCTTTGCAGCTCCCGGAGGTGGCTAGTCCTCCTGTGCACAAACTCTGATGGGAAAAACCGGGGGTGGAATGAAACGCTTCAATTTTAGCACAAGGAACAGCAGCGAGGGCGGGTCTAACCCCCTCTCCCAGCTCCTCTGGGCTCATGCTCAGTGGGTTGCTCCGGGGTAAGCCACAAAGGAGAAAAAAAACAAAAAAAAAAAAAAACACAAAAAAAAACCCAACCAAACTTATTTAGCTGTGGTCAGTGCAAGACCAGCCTATTTAACATCAGCTTTCCCTGGCTGAGATCTTGACGGCAGATAGAGCTGCCGGCGGGTTGCGAGGGCTGTAAAGCATGCTGGCTTTGAGCAGTGAGATCTAGGGTGTTATTGCCCTACATTCCTAATGTCTTTTTTTTTTTTTTTTTTTTTTTTTTAAGCCACCATTTTGTCTCTGAGTTTTCTCGTTCCCTCCCTCCCTCTTGCTTTGTGCTGAGGCCAGGGCAGCAGCCCGTGTGTTAATGAGCAGGAGGATTCAGCGTCCATCTCTTGCCGTAACTCCGTGGTTAAGCTAAAGAGAGTCGTAAAGAATTGTTCTTTCTCTGCTGGTTATAGCTGGCAGCAGAGAGACTTATTTAAATGGGAACGTGCACTTCTGGGGTGCTGCTGTGGGCGGAAGAGCTGCTGCAATTCCTGGAGGTACGAATTGGGGCGGGGTAGGACGAGAGAGGTTATACGACTTTGCTTTGTGGCACTGTGAGAACTTCTGCTGAAGATTTGGGCCCCGGGCTGGCGTGCGGGGCTCGGAAGGAGGTTGCTAAATGAGGAACGGTCCAAAAAAGAGCCCCGAGAGCTGTTAAAGGACTGGAAAAAAACAGCCTCCTGCTGAGATCTTTAGTTGACAAAAGTTTCTCGGTTTAATGCAGCGAGGTCTGGCGGGGGGGGAAGCGAAGTGTGCTCAGAGGAGGCCTTTGCTTTATTAACAAACCCGATAGGTCGGTTGGAAGTCCGACTGGAGATGAAGTGCAGCCCTGCGACAGCGAGGCGAAGGCATTGCCGGCCTCGCTTCCCGAAGGCTGCGGGAGACTCTCCACCGCCGGGCGGTTTGAAATCAAACGGGATGTTTTCCGTAGACACTTCGGCACGAGCACGGCCACCGCGCTCGAACAGGGAGCGGCCGTGCCAAACAGCCGGTGTTTTACGCAGAAGGTCGGGCTAAAGGATCCCCGGGATCCCCCTTTGTGCTTAAAAATCTGGGTAGTTTTCTGCCAGATGGATTCTTTCGGTGCGACGTGCTGGTGCTGGGCTCCCGCTAGTACCTGGACTCCCGACCTCACGTCACGCAGAAAAACGAGGCTCGCTGGGAGCGGGGAGATTTCTTTCTGCTTTATAGCCTGGGTGATGGCCAGAGAGATCATGACTCAACGTGTTAATATGGTGGAAAACGGGCCCCGGAGGGATTGCTTTGGACAGTGGTGGTAATTATTAGCACTCCCACGTAGCCCGTCTGTCCTAGGATGTGCATTAATGTGCGGAGCCGGCACAGGGAGGGAAGCGACTCTGCGCAGCTCTATTCCACATCGGCGGTGGAGCTGCTCCGATCGGCCATTTCCCCTCTCATCACTTCACAGTTTTAAGAACTGCTGTTTCAGGGAGATCAACCCCCACTATTTTCCTTCCTTGCAGCAGCAATTCAGATGGGGGCAAGCAAAAACCCTGGGGTGGGAGGGACAGGACACGACCCAAAGGCAGGGATTTCACAGAAATCGCTGCACGCCTCTCGCTGCAACGTTGTGTTGGTTTTTCTAAACAGCATTTGCCAGAGAAATAAAATCAACAAGAAATTATTTTCCCAGAGAAACAAAATCAACAAGAAATTATTTTCCCCTTTCTGAATTGTGCCTTGCTTTGTTAACACGACACACACCTTAGCAGGGAAACATCCAGATTTTCACAAAACAGGGGCCACGTTTGCTAGGGAGAGGACTAAGGTGGTTAAAATGAATTCTCTCGCCTCTCTTTAACCGGTGCTTGGTGTTACGACCCAAACAGATCAGACCCCGACCCCAACTCGGTTCCTGAAGAACTGTGAAGAAGTGGGACTCTTCAATGAACTGGCCAGCTCCTTTGAGCACGAGTTCAAGAAAGCTGCGGAGGATGACGAGAAAAAGGCAAGAGGCAAAGGCCACCGGTGCCGTAAAGCTGAGCCGGGCACATATTGTGGGGGCTGGAGGGGGGACGGTGCTGTTCTGATGAAAGGCACATGTTGTAGGGTAACTCAGTGTGGTCTCAGGTTTAATATGCTGGCTTACATGGGACTTTATTTTTTAACTCGGGTGACTTTGGCTGGCTATCTTGCAATCCAAGGCCTGGTGAGAGCGGGTTTTAATGGTTTATTATTCCTTTGGCTTTTCACTTCAAAAAAGAAAAAAAGGGAGTACCCGAAGTACCTCACGCCTTGGGAAGGAGATGCAGCAAAAGAGCGGGACTAAGTGCTCGGGATCTGAGGAAAAATTCACTCAGAGCCTCTTTGGGGGGATCAGGATCCTTAACGATGATGCCTTTAAGGTGCAGTCGGCAGGGAAGGGCTGGAGCTCAGCCGTGCGCCTTTAGCATTTGAGCGGTGTCACGGTAGATGCAAATAGAGAGAGGGGCTCCGTGGAGGAGCGAGGCTTTTCCTAACAAAGAGCTCCCTCCTATGCAAGCGGTATCGATCCAGGCCGCCCCTGCCAACCTCAGGAGCACAAGGGTCTGAAGGACAAGGGGATCTCATCAGATAGCAGCTAATTAAGGACATATTCCCCCCCCCCCCCCCCCCGCCTTTCCAGGATCTTAGGAGCAGCAGATGCGTATTGGGCTCTTAGACTGGCACATACATTTACTAAATTGATATATGTATGTACATACACTCGCAGTCAGCGGCGCTGCTCGGAAATAAACTGCAGGAGCACAGCCGCGTAAATCTTCACCGAGATGGGGAACGGAGGAATTCAGAATTAAAACTGAAAACTGTCTTTCACCCGCTCTCCTAATAACAGGGCTCTTTAAAGCATAAATTGATCTCTCTCATTGGTATGCTGCAGGGCCTTGTCGGGGCTGCGTGGCATTTTATGCTCTGAATTCCCTGCCTTTTGTTCTCTGCAGCCCAGACCCCGAGCGCTGGGAGAAGGTAGCTTTGCGTTTGTGGTTTCACATATAAATGGTTGAGCAGCCCACAGTCTAGCCAGTCGTTTTATATGGAAGACCACCCATCTCCTGGGCTGTGCTACCTCATAGCTGCAGCTTAAGATCCTTAGGCTCTTAGATGTTTTCCTTTTTTTTGCTTTGGGATGATTGCAGCCTAAATATTTCCGCCGGCAGCCGGGCGAACGCGGTGGCACAAAGCTTGGGGGGGGGGGGAGGGATTCAAGCGTTAGGGAAAGCATTATCCCTCCTAGAAAATCTCTGCACCGGCGAGGTCCCCGGGCCCAGATGGCTTGTCACTCACCGAGCCTGGCCAGAGCTGCCTTCTGCATTTCTGAGATGCTTTCAACATTTGGCCACATCGAGCCCGGTTGCTGCTGCTGTTGTGTTTTGTCCTCCAGTTCCAAGGGTGGTCTCGACACCAGCACGTTAATTAAAAACATAGGCACAGCAGGAGCTTCCCTGGAGGCGCTTTAAGTGGTTTGAAACTTTCCTGCATGTTAATCCCTTCTCCTTTGTGATTCCCAGTGCAACATCCCTGCTTAAGAGGGCAGGTAAACGGTTACCCCCCCACACACCTACCGCGAGCAAAGTCCCTGCGTAAATCAGCGCAGAGCGGCAGCGCTGGGGCCGCACCCCACCCAAGAGCAGCAAGAACATCCGTAGATGCCCGGATTTACCCTCCTGCCGCAATTTTCCCTCCCTCGAGAGGACTTCAGAAGGCAGCAAAGGAGGAGGTTTAGGTTAGCTGCTAGGACGAACTGTCAGCAGTCGGGGCGAGAGAAGGAAAGCGCTGGGGTTGATTGTGGAGGGAGGGAGAGCAGGTTGGACAAACAGCTGTCAGGACTGATTTAGGGAGAAGTTTCTCCTGGCCCAGACAGAGGGAGGGACCGGGTGATTTGCGAGGTCTGTTGGAGCCCAATCGAACGCAGCATCCTGCAGTCGGAGCCTCGCTCCGTTGCGCGCTGCTCCGGTGCTGCCGTACGCCATCTTCTCCCAGGTCTTCTCTTCCTCCAGGTCTGGGGAAGGGAGAGGTGGCTGCTCGGTTTGGTCCCCTCCTTGTTGTCACCCTGCCCTTTTCCCGTCCCCAGCAAGTCATTAACTGGTTAAAATGGGGCACGTGGCACTGCTGGAACCTAGGGTGGTGGTGGCAAGTTGCCAGGTTCAGGCATATGGTTGGGTTTTATTTTAATGGGGCGCTCATAGATATTTAATAACTTGCATGGCTCTTTGTTTGCTTTTGATAATCGGGTAATAAAATAATTCAGGCTGATTTATACAATGCTTTACAGCTCTTCTGTGAATGAAAGTGCCTTCTGTAACTTGCAGGCATTTGGCTTTGTTACCTGTTCTCCTTAGCAGAGCCCTTTTATGAAAAAAAAAAAAAAACAAAAAAAAAAAACAAAAAACCAAACAAAACTCAGCTAACCCATGGAAAGAATCGTGTGTGTGTTACTGAGAAACCACAAAATGGTGCCATCTGGGGCAGAGACCGTCTTTCCTTAGGCCTCCGTCTCTGTTTGGACGGGGCCGGCGCAGCGCGGCACCGCTCTCCGCCTCGGGCTCCCAGATGCTACTTCAGTACAAATAAATAATAATAATTTGGCAAGAGCTCAGAGCTGTAGCTCTTCCTCTGGGAGCAGCCGAATGTTTCACAAACAATATGAGCTAATTGTCCTTTCAATCCGTGGCTGGTTTTCCTGTAGAGCGCTGGAGCCCTGGACATGTCTCTGCCCTCCACCCCAGACATCAAGATAAAGGAGGAAGAGCCCGTGGAGGTGGACTCTTCCCCGCCAGACAGCCCTGCATCTAACCCGCAGTCACCCCAGAACAAGGAGAAGGTAGGTCTCCCCGGCCATGCCCTACAGAGACGTTGGTCTTCCCTTCTGCAGATGAGAACAAGCTTTTTCTCCTCTTGGGTGCCAAGGCCTGATTTGAGCTTGGGAAGTTCCCCTCGTTTTAGAAAGAAAGAGAGAAAAACTCGCTCGGCTAAAAGACACGTTGGCTTGCCCCCTAAGTCTCCACGTGGGTTTGGCTAATGCAGGAAGCCTTGCTGTTCACCCTGGGAATGCTTTTCCAGCAGGGCAAAAGTGCCAGACAAGTAACACACCTTCTCCGAGACCGGCTCCCTGTGTCCCAGGGGGGGCTGGCTGGTGATTCAGTAGCAGATTAGTCCAAGTGACCCGGTCTCCACCTAAATAACTCCCTGCCCCAGAGGCACTAGCTGGGGCTGGGGCAGTGGTCGGAGAGGGGGATTATTTCCCAGAGGCTGCTGTGGAGTCTGAATTTCAGTGCCCCACTCCCTGCACTGACATCAAATCAGTGTCCCTCTGGGTAGGCTGCTCCCCCTCCGCGCCTCAGTTTCTGTGGCGAAGGTGCCTTCATTTTCCCTGAATTGCTTTTAAGCCATCAGAAGGAAGAGACAGCCAGGTGATGATTACGCTAATAAGTAACATCATGTCTCCTTTTGTCGTGTTGATCCTCTTCAGGAGATCACCTCCAAGCCTGTAATCATTTCCACACCTACTCCAACCATCGTGCGTCCAGGCTCGCTGCCGCTACACTTGGGTTATGACCCGCTTCACCCGACGCTGCCTTCCCCAACCTCTGTCATTACCCAGGCTCCCCCTTCCAACAGACAGCTTGGGTGAGTACAGAGGAGGGACACGTGTGCTGAGGTTTTTCTCCCGCACCGTCAGGCTTCCTGGGCAGTAATTAGCCACCTAAATAAGTTCCTTGATTGTCAGAACGACTGAGGTGCCGCGATTCCCGCTGCGGCTGCTTGGGCATAAGGAGCTCGTTGCAGCACTGTCGACAAAAGCAGAATGGGGTGTAAGTGCAGAAAGCAGGAACTAATTGTCGCAGTGTAACGAAACGAGGCAAAACTCACCGCGGGGAGAAATTAAACCTGGTCCCCAAACACGTTGACATGACACTCGCTGTCTGTGACGGGAGCGTGGCCTGACTGGGGACTCCCAGGCTGCTTTTGCAGCCTGCTGCAGTGGAGGGGGCTCAGCCAAACCGGCGGTAGGAAATTGTCTGGGTCTTTAACGGCTTTGGGATTTTCTCAGACAGCTGTTGCCTCTGAAGTGTAACCTCTTCTGCAACCTGCTGGCCTCCTTCGTGGTCAGCTTCTGCCTCGGGAGCTGTTTGTTTCAGCAGATCTAATGACCTGCTCCTTTTTGCCCCTTTAACAACCTGGATCGGAGGCTCCGGAGCGCTTGCTGCAGCAGTTATGAGCCTGCCACACTGTTAGGTAGCTCCAGCCCTGCACATAAAAGGAAGGAGCCTGAAGGATGCAGGAAACACATTACAATGAGCCCTCAGGAGACGTATATTTAGCCCCACTTCTATTCTTTGGTGTCAGGATGCTTCTTTTTTGCTGTGGTCCTGGCCTCTTTCTAATTACCCTTGTTTGAGGCTGGCTCCTTACATTAACCAGGCCATTTTTTTCAGCTGTCAGTTCATATTTTTGTGTGTGTTTTCGCTTTGACCCTCTGGCACCATCAATCCAGACTTCCTGACGGAAAGTTTTAAATCCTGTCTTGAGGCATCAAGGGGTTAAGTGATTGTCCCAGGGTTTTGAAAGGGCATTATGTTCCTTCTGTAGCCCTGCGCAGGCAAAGGTTCCTGGGGCTGTTTGGAACCGAGTCCCCTTGCGCTTGGAGGCATGAAAAAATCAGAACTGGAGCAAGCTAGACTTCGATACGATTTTATGTGCCCTTTGCAGTCCAGAGAGGTAGATCCCTCCTAGGGTGTGAGGGCTGAACGTGTGCTACGGTCGGGCCGCAGCTCTAACGAGGGTCCCTGCGTTAGGGCCACGGCGGCCGCGGCGGGGCTGTCAGCGTGACGGAGATGGAGGGGGGGAGGCTGTGAACCTTCCTGTAACTCGGCTTGTTAGGCTGGGATTTTCAAAGCAGCCTGGAGGATTTGGGATGCCCGGTAGAAACGAGTAAGAGGCGAGCGTCGGCATTCCCAAGGCAGCCTTAAAAATTCCAGCCTGAGTTATTGGCGCGATGAACTTCCCCCCTCCGACCCACGTCCCCTGCTTCTCCCTGCCCTGCTGTTCCTCCACGCCAGCGCAGCGTCCTCCCAGGATCCCGGGCAGCTCAGCCGTGTCTGTCTCCTTCCCTGGGCTGGGCAGAGGAGGCAGCAGCAAATTGGTTTCCTCCCTCCCCCCAAAGTCAGGCTCCCAGCAGCTCTCCTCTTCTCTTCCTGGCTCATCTCTGCCTCCATTCGGTTCCCCGCTGCGCTGTCGTGAACGGAGGAGGAGCGGGAGATCAGCCTTTGCTGGCAGGGACGGTTTCCTTCCTCTCCCCATTGTCCGGAGCAGATCAGCTCCGGCTTTTTCTCCTCTCTCCTAGAAAGGCTGAGCCCAGAGGGTCAGAGCTGGAGCACGGTGAGGTTTGCAATGCTCCGAAATGGAGGCAGGGAGGTGTGTGCCTGGTTGTCACCACATGCAGAAACGCCGCCTTTTGCTGCAAAGTGATCTGCAAGGGAAAAAGTTCTTGGTCTTTTTAATTTGTCACAATTAGGCTCTGGCACAATCGCCTCCTCCCCCAGCCTGCAGTGAGCAGGGCCGTTCCCATCTCCCCGATCCATTGTCTGGGCAGACACAAGCCAGCCCTGCATCGGCTCCAGATTTAGGAGGTTTTCTCCGGAGGCAGAGTCAGAAGCGCTTGTTAATGGAAAGCTAAATCCCTGCAAACCCTCTCGTGGGAGCTCAGCAGACGCGACTCACAGGCCAGGAAGTTACTGGTGGGCAGGAGCAGCTGCCCAGATCCCCCAGGTGCCAGGCTCAGCACTTTTAATCTCCCCGAGGAGGAGTCGCAGCAGCCCCTGGGTGTGCTTTGGTGTGCTTTTTTTTTTTTTTGTCCGCTCAGGTGGGCGCCGTGTCTCGGAGCTTTGGCAGCCAGGGTGTTTTGGCCAGCCGGTGTATGGCCAGGACTTATCGAGGGCCCCCCGTAACGCCGGCATCGCTGCCAGCCCCGAGCCCGGAGCAGCAGCCTGGGTCACCTCAGTGTGACATTGGCACGTGCTGGCTGCCGTGCAGCGCCCGGGCGGGAGGCTGAGTTACCTTAACGCCAGCTCAGCCAGGCTTTGCACCCACCCATTCAGAACGTGCCGCTCAGAAATGGGAAAGTGAGCCCGAATCCACTAACCAGGATTAATTTGTGCTTCTGCCCTTGAGCTTATGGGGCTGCTGGGACAGCATAAAACTTGAAATAATCCATGCGAACTTGAATTGGTTTGGTTTTTTTTTTTTTTTTTTTTTTCCCCAGGTCTCCCACAGGTTCCCTTCCGCTTGTCGTGCAGCTTGCAAACGGACAGACCATGCCCGTCCTCCCAGGCCCTCCCGTACAGATGCCTTCTGTTATATCGGTGAGAGAAACTCTGCGCGGCGGCGAAGGGGACAGTGCTTTTGGCTGCCAAATAGACGCAGACACTTCCATTTTGTAAAAATTAAAATATATCTCCCCCTCTGTGCAAGATATGACTGGAAGAGGAGGAGGAGGAGGAGGGGGCCCAGCTCTGGCAAGGTAGTAATAACATGTCGATCACACTAGAGGGCAATAAGTCTGGAAAAAAACAAAGCCTTGCCTGGACAGATGGCTCATGCCATTGATCCAGGGCTGGGAACTGCAGGATCCCTGATTAGCTGCTTCCATTTGGAACAGCGTGCCTCAGTTGAAACCATTCGAGCTTGCAGAGAACATGTTGGTCTTTGCAGGCCAGGAAAGCCACCCTAACCTCGCCAGCGTGCTAAAGAGCTGTTTGAATATCAGCCTTGCGGGTTGTGCTTTTTGCATACGGAGAATTTTCTGCGGTGCAGAACTCACGAGCAGATTTGCCTGGCGGGTGGCTTGTACATCTTCCGAGCGCTTCAGCTCCCGACCGAGCAGCCTGTGGGAATCCTGTCTGTCCTGCTGGGCATGTCTTTTGGGTTTTGAGTGAGTAACGGCCAAAACCTTCCGCCTCAGGTAACAGGAGTGTTGACGTCAAAGTAGGCAGACCGCAGGCAGCTCAGCGTAGCTTGTGGGCACGGAAACATCGTCGCACCCTCCTGATCATTTGAAACACGGCTTGTGTTTGGAGTGCTTTGCAACAGCGTACCTGAGTGGCTTATAAAAGCAAGTGCAAATTCTGGGGTTTCCCCTCTTTGGTGAGGGAGCAGGCTTTTCATGTTGAGGAGAGGACGCTGTGACTTACCCTTGGCGTCACGGCAGCTTTGCAGTAGAGCCGGACGGAGAACCAGAGGGGATCTTGTACCCTCCCTCTCCATCCGCTCGCCCGCACTGGTGGGGAAAAGCTCTGTGGGAGGGAGGGGAAGGGGGAGGAGGGGGGGGCTTTAGGGCTGCCCTCCTCCCTGTCCTCAGCACTAGTCTGGTATGGCTGGGTGATTCCACAACAGCCACCGTGGCCACCAAAGGAATGGCTGCTGGCCTTCGGTGACAGCAGGCGTGATTGACGGCAGTAGTTAAACGCTGAAGGTTTGTCAGGATTTATAAATGTGCTCGGTTGGGGGATTATTACGAAGCCGCTTCGTGGAGCGCGCTTGCGAAAGCACCTCAGCTTCCAAAACCCATGTGTTGCTTCCTCCCCGATAGCTGGCTCGGCCGATGTCCATGGTGCCAAACATCCCCGGCATTCCTGGGCCGCCCATCAACAGCAGCGGGTCCATTTCACCCTCAGGGCTTCCAGTGCACTCTGAAGCCAAAATGGTAAGTGTCCAGGCTACGTGCTGGGGAGGGTCTCACGTCCACGGTGTTGTCCCTAAGTCTTCGCTAGCTCCTCCAGGAGACACCCTGTCCGGAGGCTTTTTCCCTGCAGCCTTCACGAAGAGCCGCTGCTTCTCTCTGAAATCCTGCGCAGCCGTCGGAGCACAGCCCCACACCGAGAGCAGGTGTTACAAATGCCACCAGGAATATTAGACTAATCAACGCTGCGGCTCTGGCAGGCAGAGCGGGCACGCTATTGTCAAGATAAACCTCAGCCCCATCCTAAACACGGCTGTTTTGTAAAGCTGGTGCTTCTAGTTCCAAGTAAACAGATGGGTTGGAGGTGGGCTTGAGGGAGGCAGAGCCAAGAGAAGAGATGTTGTGCTGTAATCCAAGGATCCTGCTAATGGTTTTTCGCGTAGACCCCTTTAACTAAAAGTTTATGAGCGAGTTTTCCCCTCTTGGCTCTTCATGGCTCAAACCAGCTGCCCGCAGAGGGGAGAGGCGAACCTAAGTTTGCAAAGAAAGACCAGCAAAACTCTGGTTTTTTGGCTGAGACAGAGCGGAAGCGTTGGCAAACCCACCTCTCCCGGCGGCGCTGCTCCTCACCGTTGCCGGTGTGTGGACGCTGCTGCCATCGCACCCTGTTCAGGTGCCTGCAAGGTTCACGGGCAGATCAGAGCTACAAGTGAACTGGGAGATCCTCGACTCTGTCGGGGGCCGTCCCGGCCCCGTTGGCCTGCGTCTGGCTGCCCGGAGAAGGAACTCGCAAGACGTGGTCTGTGATCACGTGTAGGTCCTTCTCCATCCCAGGAGGGTCCCTCTGCGGGTGCTCAAGGACAGTTGGGCTCCGCAGGCTGCTCAGGCCGTGGTCTTTCTGCAGAGCCTGCCAGCTGGGGAGCGGGTCGGTGCCAGCTGCAGTAGCAATTTTGGGATGCGGACACCTGTCTGCTTGAGCCTAAATTGGAAGCCGCTCTCTGTCTTTGGGTAGGCCAGATGGTGATGGCTTTTGGTTGGATTGGAATCAGCTGCGGTCCCCGAAGAGCCCGTTCCCCAAGCGGCCTGGCCCCTTGAATGACAGAGGAGGTGGTTAAAACTTTTAACAGCGTGGAGAACAGGGTCGCTGACGTCCTTTTTTGTCTCCTTTAACAGAGGCTGAAGGCCAGCTTGACGGCATCTGCCTCACTGAACGGCAGCAACCTGGTGGTGGGTTCAGCCAGCACGATGGTGACCGCACGTCCAGAGCAGAGTCAGATCCTTGTCCAGCACCCTGACGCCCCTTCCCCAGCTCAGCCACAGGTCTGCTGCTGCTCAGCCCGCGAGGCTGGGCTGGAGGTGCTGGGGGTTTCTGGGCCTCGGGGAAAGAGGAGGAAAACCTTGCGGCTTCCTGCTTTGCAGAATGAGTTAAAAACCCCTCGTTTTTTCAGTGCCGCTTCGGCACTAACGCTCTCGAACACCACCAGGCAGGAAACTTCAGCACCATGTTCATTTGCTTGACAAGGTCTGGAGTTTCGAAAGAATATTTCGCTCTCTTCTCCCTGCTCAATTACCGGGGTTAAACGCTCCCCTCTTAGGCAATCAGCTCCACTGGCTCCTGCCAGCGAACCAAATGCCAGCCTTCCATCAGGATCGCCACCTGCTCCGTCAGTTAGATAAGCTTCCAAAAGTTTAATATCCATATGCTGCCTGACAGCGAGTACCGAAGTGTAACTGCACTCCCCGGTTGTGGCGGTGCAATTGCAGAGCCCTCGCAGAACCGCCGGCAAGGCTGTGCCCGCAGGACGGTTTGCCCTCGCCGCCTTTTCCTTCGTTCTCCCAAAATAAAACGGGGAAAGGTGCGGCGTTACGAAATCTTTTCGTGCCGCTTGCCTCCGAGAGCTTGTTTAGCTGAAGATAGTCAGGGAAAACTTGGCCCAGGTGGATTTTTAAAGCCAACTGCCCACTCAAAAACTGTAATTTGTGCTCTGCCAGTGAATTACTGAACCCAAATGGGGGACGGTGCGTGGCTGCGTGCGTCAGAGCGGGCTGGAGCGCTCCCAGCCCTGCAGCTGGACCTTACCCTCCATCAGCTGATACGTGGTCGCTGGCCGCGTGGGGATCTCCTAAGTCATTGCAGCCCGAAGGGCTTTTTAAAGTCTCCTCAGTGAAATTAAAAGGAAGGCTGTTGCCTCTGCGTTGCCCGGGGTCATTTAGCTCCTCGGCGGGGAGGGGAGGAGACTCCTGCTGTCGGTTACATGCCCTTAGCAGACTGCAGGAGCCTGGGATTTAGCTAATTCCCCTGACCTTCGCGCGTCCGCCGGGTTCAGGATCTCGGAGTTCATGTGGCTTCACACCTTAAGTTTGCAGGGCGCTTCAGACTCGGCTGAGGGTAGGGCTGCCAGAAACGCCTGTGAAAGGGGGCTTCGTCCTCAGCCCCCCTGTGGCAGCCAGGGCTGCCCCTCCGCCCGTCCCCGCAGCGCGCAGATGTCCAAAAGCAAATCCTTTTTTTACCCGGGCCCGAAGAGCTGGCACCTCCTCTGCCGGACCGTGGTTACGCCGGGGCGTGCCTGCCTGCCCGCCCGCGTCAAGAGTTTCTTTTCAGTGCCTCTTTTTCCCGTGCCCCCCCATCTCCAGGTGTCCCCCGCCCAGCCCACCCCCAGCACCGGCGGGCGACGGCGACGCACGGTTGACGAAGATCCGGACGAGCGCCGGCAGCGGTTCCTGGAGCGGAACCGGGCCGCCGCCTCCCGCTGCCGTCAGAAACGCAAGCTCTGGGTGTCTTCCTTGGAGAAGAAAGCCGAGGAGCTCACGACCCAGAACATCCAGCTGAGCGTGAGTATGTAACCGCGGAGGCTGAGCGCAGCCCTTTGCCGCCGTTAGGACCGTCGCTCCGGAGGGGACGTCTTCCCCGTGCTGCAGAGGCAACGTGCGCTGGGGATGCTGCTCCCTGGAGCAGCCTAGGTTTCACTCCTTGCTTTCCATCCTGATGCTCTGCCTCGAGCAGGCCGGGGCAGGGGAGGTGGGGGGGGGGGGGGGGAAAGAGCGCTTCAGTGCTCTTCTTTCTCTCCCCGTCCCCCCTCGGAAGGGCTCTGCCCATCAAAGCAGGAGCTCGAGGAGCGACGCCAGCCTCGGGAGCGGAGCGTGGAGGCCCCAGGAAGCAGCTGTGTTTGCGGAGTGGAAACCTCCCCTGCGCGAAGAGACCTCTCTGCTGGCGCAGAGTCAGCAGGACCAGGCCCGGTTCCCTTCCCTGCATGGTGGCCCTGGCGCCGGGGCGAGCCGGGAGGCTCTGCAGCTGCGGCCACGCTGATTTTTTTTGCTGGCCATCTGGGTTGCCCTGGCTCTCGGGCAGCACCCCCGGCAGACCCAGCAGAAGTGCAGCACACCTGAAAACACAGACTTCGCTTCCATTACCGTTAGCCCCCTTGGTACTGCGCTCAGCACTGGCTGAGGAGTGAAGGGTCTGCAGAGGCTGAACTTGTGCCTGTTTTGGGCTTTTTTTCTTTCACTGGTGGCTAGTGACTCGTGCAGTGGAATTCCTCCGATAGCACTGATCGTGGCATTTTTAATCTCTTCCCAAGATAATTATAGAAACTGTTTACTTGGGCAACTTGGAAGTACAATTGACTGGATTTCAGCTGTTTCTCCAAACATTTCGATAGAGGAATAACGCGCTGCACAAAATTTCCAGGGGAGTTAGACCTGGTTTACCGAGGCAGCTTCACAGGGATCCTGAGAGCTTGGAGGAGCTCTGGTGTTCCCCGTGGTCTGGCGTGGGCTGAGCTGGTCGTACGCTCAGCTCTCTCCCTCTGTTTAGTTATCCATCGGAGCCAACAGCACGCCCGAGCATCTGACTCGAGCAGTTGGCATTAGCAGGAGGGCTCAGGCGAATGTATGTCCAGGATTAGATGATTAATGTGGCGAGGGGCTGTCCAGCCAGAGGTGGGGGCTGCGGGAGGGAAACGCTGCGCTCCATGTCTTGCACACTAAATTCCCCAAACCCAGAAACTTTATTTGGCCTTCCCGGGCCAGCGGCATCTCAAATCAGACAACAAATTGTAAGTTTGCGGGGCACATAAATTCACATCCTGGTGTTGCTAGAGGCTGCTGTCAAGGCCCTGAGTGATGCATACGTGCGCGTTTGTTTTTCAACCTCAGAATGAAGTTACGCTACTGAGGAACGAAGTTGCTCAACTTAAACAGCTCCTGCTGGCTCACAAGGACTGCCCCGTCACTGCACTACAGAAGAAAACACAGGGCTATCTCGGTGAGTGATGACTTTTGCTGGTCCTTACTCTCCTTTAAGTAGGTCCAAGCAGATGAAACCTGCGTTAAGACGTAAAGTCTTCATCTCAGTGGCTGCTCCATCACCTTCCAGCTATTTCAGCTGGCAGGGCAGGGCAGAGCTTGGTCCTGTGTCTTCTGCTGACGTGCCCTCCGCAGAACTCCAGGCCACACCTGCAGATTGGCACTTTAACCCCGTTGATAAGATCTTGCAGCCGGGCAGCGAGGGTGACCGCGGCGCGAGGGCAGGAGGCGGCGCCTCGCCCGCGGCGGCTCTCTAGTGGGGGATGCTTGACCGAGATCCAGATCCCCACGCTTCTCCCCACCCGCTCCCAGGCAGCGCGCCAAGCACTTGATATTCTCTTTGAAGTTAAAAACTATTGCTGCTCTGAAAGCGAAGCCAGAGTCAGAAAAGGCCAGACTCTATAAATGACATCATGGGGCTCTATATCTCATTCTCTGCAATTCACATCAAATTGGCTCGGGTTTGGAAGTAAGAAGGCCTCTTTTTATCTTCTTTTCTTTCCTTTCTTTTTTTTTTTTTTTTTTTTTTTAATGCTGCCTATTTCATTATAATCAACCCGGGAGCTAAACACGATGTCTGGATTCTTATGTCATCTCTGCAAGAACAATTCCACGCTGTGGGTATTTGTGGGAAGGCTTTGGGAGGAGGCTGGAGTCCCCTAGCGTTGCCTGGATTAACGGGACGAGAGGCAGGGACGGATGGAGATAAGAAAAGGAAGGGGGAGAAAACAAAAGCCGAGAAAGCAAGTCCTGTCCTCCCGCTTCCCATCTCCTGGGTCTCTGAAACGCTCTTTTTCCGGGCGGTGAGGCACAAATACGTGCTGCACAGGGCCTGGCACAGCCCCTTTATTTTCACTCATTACAGTGACTCAGAGCTTGAGTAATGTGGTCGTGAAAATCCTCGCTGTCCCCCAGCCCTTGCAGACAGGTGTTCGCTCTGTGTATAATGCAGAGAGGCGACATGATTTTTCCTGTTAACTTCCAAAGTTTACAGTTCCTATTATTATTCCTCGCAGTCTGTCTACTCCAATAATAGGAATTCATCACACATCTGAATAATAAAAATGAAATTCACACCTCCCTCCCCGTGCCCCCCCCCCCCCCCCTCCCTGGCTGCCTTTTTTATTATTGAGATTTGTGACTAAGCAGGTCCTTAAACAAAAACGCCAGATTCCCTCGATGGAATTACAGCTGCCTCATGTACAGTTGGGTTGTTTTATTTGTAATACCTTGTAAATCTCCTTTTTGGGATGCCAAACTATTATATTGCTCTGCTCGACCTTCTCTCTCGCCGCCAAGCCGGTTTTCAAGCCTGCTGTGCTAGCTGCATCTTTCAAAGGCCAGGCCAAGGTTTCACAAGGGAAGGTCCAACCCTCTTTGGGGAAGGGGCGCGATATTCCAGCACCCGGTAGAAAACGGAGCCCTAAAACATGTTTGCTGGTGCCCGGTAAGATGGTAAACCTCTTCTCTGACTTTTTTTTTTTTCCCCCCGCTGTCATGGGGTTTACCCTTTTGACGTGGAAGAAGCATCCCAGCTCATGCCATTATTTTGCTCTTTTAAAGGAAGGTGACCGCATCTTACCCGTAATTCATCTAGCCAAGTGCACAGGAGGGAATTTCCTCCTGACATCTGTAGATAATGAGTGTATACCCCTAAAGAGAGAGGTCTGATTGCTCTCGCCTTGGCATTTGATAGGTCACAAATTATCCTCTGTGTTAGAAGCTCTGCCTGGGCGCAGTGGGCTGTTTGTGGGAGAGAATCCAAAGTTTTGGAAACCAATCTGCGTCGCTCAGAAAAGAGCACGGAAGAAGGTCTCTGCCTTTGTTTGCCTCCCATCCCTTCAATCACACTGCTTCGAGTTACCGAAAGAAATCGAGCAAGCAAACAGTCTGTAATGGGCTCTAATCGATTTTAATGTTCTAGAGAACAATAAAGAGCAAACCAGGTAATTTATATATAAAAAAAAATGGCAAAAAAAAAAAAACAAAAAAAAAAAAAACAAAACAACCCCCCCGCCCCGTGCCTTTGCAGAAGGGTTTCTGTCGCACGCTTCCCTGTGTGCTCACCCAGCAGCTGGTAAGGACTCTGAAGGAACTGTTCAGTCTCTGGGCTAAATGGCCTTGAACCAAGTACCACGCCAGGAAACGACACGCAGGGAAGTTCCTTTTTCTTACAACGAGGAAGCAGATTTATTAGGCCGAAGGTTGCGCTGGGTCCGCCACCCTCGGCGCGAAGCCTGCGCTCTGTGCTGCCCTGGCCCGAGCTCCCTGAGGTTCCCTGGTGTTTCTCCAAGGGACGGGGCCAAACGGGCCCCGGGGTTGGGGGGGGGGGTCGTCCTGTCCCGACCCTGCGCAGTTTTACTTCCAGTCGCTCATTTGCTTTTGCCAAACAGCTGCTTGAGGGGGGAGCCCGGCTGGGGGGGGGGGGGGGGGGGGAGATGAGATGGGGGGGGGGGGAGCTGGGATTCCTGAGGGGTTCGGCCTCTCCGCTCCGGGCTGCTTTGGCTGGGAAGGTGAGTGTCGAGCAAATACCCGGCTAATTTCTGCGCACCCTCCGAGGCAGGAGCGCTCTGCCCTCCCGCCGCCTCGCTGCTAACACCGGTCGCAACGCGCACGGCCTCTCCCTAACCTTGGTTTTTTGTTTGTTTGTTTGTTTTTTTTTTTTTCTTCCCCCCCCCCCCCCCCTTCTCCTTCTCCGGTCAAGCAGAAAGCCCAAAGGAGAGCTCGGAGCCCACGGGCTCCCCTGCTCCCGTCATCCAGCACAGCTCCGTGACGGCCTCCCCCAACGGGCTCAGCGTCCGCTCGGCGGCCGAAGCGGTCGCCACCTCGGTGCTCACGCAGATGGCGAGCCAAAGGACAGAACTGAGCATGCCGGTACCGTCACACGTCATCATGGCTCCACAGTCGCAGTCTGCTGGCAGATGATGTCACAGCCCGGGCGGGTGACACGGCGCTAACCGCCGAGAGACTGACCACACCCGAGCCCCTGACCAGTGGGGGCCCATAAGGATTTTTATTTCCTTCTTTATTTTTTTTTTTTTTTTCCTTTTGGGTTTTGTTTTGATTTTTTTTTTTGGGGGGGGGGGGGGGGGGGTGTTTGTTTGTTTGTTTTTTTTTTTAATTTTTTCCAAGTGAGTTAAGGGCAGCTACGGCGCTTCTCACACTGCATAGCCTGTACAGATCCCGGCCCCGCGGGACAGCCGCGCGTCGAGCGCTTTCCGCCCGTCCTTCAGCTGACGCGCCGTCAACTCGCAGAGTCTCACCCCAGGCACCCCGGAGCCTCACTCTGAAAAGCACCTTGAAAGGTTCGCTTTCAGGTATCAGTCACGTTAACACTAAACCTCCCTGCTCGGTGGATCCCCCTCGGCGCTTTCACTCTTCCAGGCCCCCCCCCCCCCCTCTCCCTCCTCCTCCACTCGCAGCAAAGGAAAACGTAGCTCTTGGGAGGCTGTGACATTTAGTCGCGCTGTCAATGGATTTTATTTTGAACAGCATGCTGCTTCCAGGCATCTGCTCCCCGCTCTGCTCTAGCTACCTGAAACATTGCACCTCGGCACGAGGAGCCTCCTGAGGTTAAAGGGATCGGGGTTAAGTCTCGTCACACACGAACTCCCAAGATTTTGGATACGATGGGAGTGCAAGTCGCTGTAAATCGGTTCGGTGCCCGTTGGTTGGGAGAGGGGGACGTAGGGCCGGGACACCCCCCCACACACACACACACACGGGTTCCTGGTCACTTGTGCCACCCCGGGAGCTGCAGGCGTTCGCGTGCCGCTCTCCTAACGGGAGGCTGTGGTTGCTGGAGGAAAGGGCCCGGCTGTTGGAGCAGCGGAGGGGCCGCTCTCAGTCTTCCTCGCAGTAAATGAGGCGCTCTGGGAGGAACAGGAAAGGCAAAGCCGGGCCCAGCAGGCGATAATAAGGCGAGTCCCAGAGTTCACCATCCCCTCCCAACTCCCCTGTATACCTTGGCGAACAAATCCCTCCATTTCCAAGCATCATCTCCTTTACACGTAACCTCAATGACCTTAATAATGGTGGCCTTAAATCATGAATGAGTTGCCTGTTCCAAGGGGAGGGAGCACGAAGTAGTGTTTCTGTTTGCCCGGCCTTTTACCTCTTCTTCACGATTCTCTTCCGCTCTCGGTGATGGAGCATCCGTTGCTTCCCAGCCAGAGCAAACAAAGGATTCGCAGAGCTTCCAGTTTCGCAGGGCGGGTCGAAAACCCGGCCCCCACGTCGAAAGACGCTTGGAAGGGGAGCTGCTTTGTGAGTGGGGGGTGTCTGTGCTTCCCGAGGCTGCCGCCGGCCCCGGGCAAGCGATGGGAGTCGGTAGTTTGGGGATGGGAAGGGGTTTTGTTCGGGCTTTTAGCAGGAACCTCGTCAAAGTCTGTGGAGCTGCATCAGCCCTCGGTCTTCCTCTCCTCCTCGGGAGGTCCCTCCTCACCTGAGCTCTCGCCCACCTCAGGTTGCACTCGCCACTTTTGAGCCAAGTTTATGTTTGTCAAAGTGATTTCGTTCGGCTTATCCAGACCTGGAAGGTTTCCAGGGACGGCGAAACCCAAAGCAAAGGCTGAGCAAGAAACCCGCTCCCATTTCAGATGGGGAGGTTCGGCGGGTTGGGTTGTTTCATCGATGGGGTCTCTCTTCTCCCCCTGCCCTCTTTTTCAGTTTTTCCCTCGGCTTCTCGGCGGCACTGACCGCGGCGTTGCCTGGGTTTGGTTTGTCTCGACGCGGCGCTGCTCGTGCTCTCTTCTGCTTTCTCTTGCTCATCTCGAGAGTTCTCTTGGGCGTAGTCGGGGTCACTCGTGGCCTCGGCAGTTGGCACCTGTGGTTCGGATCCGGCGTAGCCACCCCCGGAGCCGCTTTTTGTGCCTGGAAAGCCGTTTCTGCAGGGTCTGCGTGTAGGCAGACGTTTCGGCTCTTGCTATCCCACGCGATAACGCGTTTGTGCAGCTAGAGCGAGCTGGGAGGGGAGGACGTGGCGGGGGTTGTCACGTCTCACAGCCGTGCGACCAGGACAAAAAGGGGTTTCAGCCAGCTGGGGCACAGTGGGGGATCAGGACCTTTTTTTTAGGGGGGGGGGGTGTCAGGATCTAAGGCGGGGGGGCTTGCGGGAGCTACAAGATCCAGCCCGGCCCTGCTCCTTCTCTGCTGGTGGAGCCGCGACAGGGAACGGCAGAAAACCCCGCGCTCCTTCGCGGGGTCCAAAAAGGGTGTAAAAAGGGACCCGTCTGGCGGCAAAGGGATTTGCTCTGGTCTTCCGATCTGCTCGGTTTGCTTCAGGGGGGGCTTGGAAGCAAGCGTCTCTCTTTGATCCTTTGCCTGGGAACAGGCGGGAATGACAAAAATGTGTTGTAAACATATTTGCTTCATCGCCCGGCAGCCGTTGGGTCCCTGTCCCTTGGTGCGTGGGGCCGGGAGCGAGCGGTTTTGTGTGCGGCAGCGCCAGGCGTAGCTCACCAGCTCCTCCTAGGCTCACCGAGTGTTCAGCTCTGCCGCAAAAACCTCCGGCTGTCGAGGGGAAGCGTTGGTTGAAAGACGAGAGAAAGGAGGATTTGAGCTCAGGGCTGGTGCCACGGCTGGTTCCTCGGTCGCTTGGTGGCACCGGGGGGGGGGTGTGAGGCCGAGGCGCGGAGCCCCCGGCGGCTTCGCTGGCAGGGTGGCCAGGGGGGAGGGAAGGGTGACATTGGCGAGGCAGCAAATCCGGGCCAGAGACACGGGGCAGCGTTGGCCTCGAATGCAGCAGCTCCCCCGACCCCCTTTTTTTTACCCTCGAGGGACGAAAAGTGACCCAGTTCCGTGGGATCGGCGAGCGGAGGTGGCCCGGCCCGGCGGCGATTTGCCCGCGGCCCACAAAAGCGTTTTCCCGGCAGCACCGTCAGCGGGTGACGGGGGGGGGGGACACACGCAGAGAGCAGCTTTTCTCCCCGTGCCATCGGCGCTGCCCCCCTCCAGCATCTCCCCGTCCCGGCCCCGCTCCTCCTGCGAGCTCTTAGTGCCTTGAAAAACCCGCGAACCCGTAAAAACACGGTTGGAAAGCTCCAAACCCGGGCAGCAATAATCAGGGAACAAACTTTTGACCGTACCTTAATTTTTTTTTTTGTTTTTTTTAACGGGACAGGGTTCCAGCTTTCCCGTGTCCCCGCCGGGTGTGTTGAGGCAGCCAGAACACCCAGCATGACCCCTAGCTACGACATCCCCCCCCCCCAGCCTCAGGCCACGGGGAAATTCTCCCGTCCCAGTGCGATGGACGGACGCCCCAGGTCACAAATGTCACTTTGGGGCACAGGGGTGAGGTTCATCCTTGCTGGGCTCGCAAGAGCTGCTCAGCAGAGCCGATGCTAAGCCAGTCTTAAACCTCAGGAGGAGCCGAGCGTCCCAGCGCCGGGGCGGCTGTCACTTTTTCAGTGGGAGGGACAGGTTTGGTTTTGAAGAGGCGATTCTTTCCAGGCTCTCCGGAGAGGAGGGTGCGTAGAGAGCGCGTTTTCCTCCAGCGCCGATGCCGTGGCCGCAGGCGGGCACGTCGGGCTGCCCCAGTCTCGGCGTGGGCTCCGAGGCGCGGAAATCCCCGCCGAGCCCTTCGAGCCGCCGGGTTTCTGCCCCCGCATCGCCTCCTCCTTCTCGCGGGGGTGGTTCCTTCTCCAGGTCAGGGCGGCAGTAGCCGTAAGAGGAGACGTGCTTTGGGTTTGGTGGTCGTTAGGGCCTTCGTTTGGGTCGGGAAGATGGGCTTTGTGGTGGCGATCCAGGTGGATTTGCTGGCAGGTGGGTGGTGCAGGGTTCCCCTGCGAGGGTCAAGGTGGTTTTTCCTTCTCCTCCTTCCCGTGCTTGCTCAACCCTTGCTCGAAGACTTTGCGGATGTCTTTGGGTGGGGCAAAAACACACACACACACCCCCCACCCAAGCTTCTGCTCTCGGATGATTTCTCCTGCTTTTCAGAGGCTCCCAGGGGATGGCAGCCACCGGCCGGCTCCGCTCGGCCAGCCCGGGGGCCTCGGCCGCGGTGCCTTAACCCAACCCCGGCGTCGGTCCTGTGGCTTCCCCCGAAACCATCATCTGGGTTTTGGGGTCACCTGGGCTCTCCATCCCTCCTCCAGTGGCGGGGGGGGGGGGAAGAGTGACGCTGGGGCTGCTCACAGGAGCCTGGAAAAGCTCTGCTGGGCTTAAAGGTCACGTTTCGGTTGTGATGGAGTCGGGGACAGCCCGGACGGTGGCACCGGCCCTCGGGAGTCGGGATTTTTATCGCTCCGTCTTCGCTGTTACATCAAATAGAAACAAATGGCTGAAAAACACGTCCCGGGGTGATGCTGAACCCCCGGAGGGCTGGGGGTGGAGGGGAGCGCTCCCTCCTCTCCCTCCGGTGGAGTTTAAGCTCTTGCTGACCTCCAAATCCTTTGGGCCTGGGGGAGCTGAGCGAGTTCGGTGTCGCCTTTTCCCCCCAAACTGGCTCCTTGGTTCCGAATTTCGATGGGTCAGCTGGGAAATTTGTCATTTTTGGACTTGCCGACTTGTTTCTGTTTGGGGTGTGGGTGTGTGTGTGTGTGTGTGTGTGTGTGTGTCCCCGTGTCGTGTGTGTGTGTGTGTGTGTGTGTCCGGTTTCGTGCACACGCGGACTCCGGCAGCGGCGATGCTCTGCCCCGAAACAAGCCCAGGAGGTGACAGAGGGACCCAGTGGCCCTTGGGGACACAGGAGGAGGGTCCTGGGCGTCCCCCCTGTCCGTGTCATCCCCCCCCCCACCCCAGCTGCTTGGTACAGCAAGCTTTGACGATCATTAATGGAAGAAGCCAAGAAAAAGGAAACCCCCCCCGAAAAGCGTAACCACGAGGGTGTAGTATCTATTAAAAAAAAATAATAATAATAAATAAATACATATCTATGAGTATATACAGACCTATATAGACATATATCAACTTCCTGAACGGATGCGCAGCTCCTTACGCAACGAAATGGTTTTCTAGCTGTAACACCCCCCCCTCCCGCGGCCCCCCCCGGGCCCCGAGGGACCCCTCGGCACGGGCTCCTGTGAGCGGGTCCTCACAGCCCCTGCGGGGGCCCGGGGACACGGGGGGACATGGGGAGGGGACAGGACACGTGTCCCAGCCCCCCCTGTCCGTCCCCCCCCCCCCCCCTCCAGCCGCGTCGTACCAAACATGTAATGTGCCTTTTATTTATGCTGCAAATATCACATTAAAATATTACCCAGGAGCTGGTGGCTGCTGCCCTCTGCGTCGCGGGGGGTCCCGCTCGGTTTGGGGGCAGCCCCGGTGTCACCTGTCCCGGGGACACCTTGGCCGTCACCTGGGGGGGGGGGGGGGGGGACACGACACACGGGGTGGTTGTCACTGGGCGGGGGGGGGGGGGGTGGAAATGTGTGACAACCCTCCGCCATCAGCTGGGTGACGCCATCCGGGCATCGGGCCTCGCGTGGGGCGACCGCGGGGCTGTCACCCACCTGGGTGACGCAACGAGTGAGCTCGCCGGGGGGGCGCGGGGTGGGGGGGGAAGTGGCCTTGGAGACCCCCGGGCTGAGGATTTGGGGCGGTTTAAGTTGGTTTTGGGTCGGAGGGAGCGGGTGGGAGGGTGGTCCCCGGAAAGCGGCGGAGCCGGGGCCGCCCCGTCGGGGCCGCAGGAGCGCGGCGCGGCCACGGGGTGGCGCCCACGAGCCGCGACGGAGCGGGGGGGGGGGGGGCACACACGGGACACGGGGGGGGGGGGGGGGGGGGGGGGGGGGTCCCGGGGATGGGGTGGGCCGAGACGGGGCTGGGGGGGGTGGGGGGGGTGTCCCCCCTTCTTGGGGAGGGGTGGGGGGGGTCCTGGTTTCGGGGAGTCGCGGTCCAGAACGGGGAGCTCTTGGGGACGTTTGGGGGGCGTCTCAGCGCCGGGGGCACCGGGTGAGGGTCGCGGGGGTGCGGGGGCCGCGTCCGTCCGTCCGTCCGTCCGTCCGTCCCCGGTGGCGGCTGTCGCGGTTGGTAAATGCGTTTCATTAGCGGCGGCGGCGGGGCCAGGATTGATCCCCGCAATCTCCCGCTCCCCCGGGACCCCCCCGGCGGCCCGGCCCGGCCCGGCCCGGCTATAAGAAGCGGCGGGCGGCGGGCGGCGGGCGGCGGGGGCGATGGCGGCGCGGCTGGAGCTGCTGCTGCTGCTGGCGGGGACCCTGCGCGCCGCCCGCTGCTGCCCCGGGACCACCGACCCCCGGCCCGACCCCGGCCCCGGCCTGGCCCCGGTGAGCCCCGGCCCGCGCCGTCGGGGCGGGATTTTCGTTGGGTTGTTTGGTTTTTTTTTTTTTTGGGGGGGGGGGGGGGGGGGTGGGGGAGCGCCCGTCGGTCCCGGGGCTGCCGTGACCACCCACGCTCCCCCCTCCCCAGGCCGCCGCCCCCCCGCCCCCGGGGCCGCCCCCCCCCCCCGCCGCCGCCGCCGCCGCCCTGAGCGCGCTGCTCCGCTCGCTGCCGCGCCCCGGCCGCAGCCCCGGCCCCCGCTTCCAGCCGCAGAGGTGAGCGGGGGGGGGGGGGGGGGGGTACGACGACACACCCCCCCGGCTGCTTTGGGGACCCCCGAGGGGGAGACGAGGTGCCGCGACAGGGGGTCCCCGCCAGCGTCCGTCTGTCTGCAAACGTCGCGTGTATGTCTGTCGTCCCCCGCTCCGTCCGTGTCCCTCAGTCCGTCCCCGTCTGTCTGTCCCACCGTCCCCAGCCAGCCCTCCCTGGCACCAAGCCGGGTCCCTCCTGTCTGTCTGTCCCCAGGGTGCCTGTCCCAGTCCGTCTGTCCATCCCCTTCTGTCCCTCTGAAAACCCGCCCCCCCCCCCAATCCCCTTTTGTCCCTCTGTGCCCGTCCGTCCCCACCCATCCCTGCCGGAGCATCCGTGTCCGTCCGTCCCCGTCTGGCCCTGTCCGTCCGTCTGTCTGGGCCGGGGGTACCAGCAGTGGGTGTCCCCGCGGCAGGTTCGGGCGGGGCCTGCAGGGGGGGCCCCACACCCGGCTCAGCCCCCGCAGCTGGGACCCTCCGGCCGCCCCGTTCTGGACCATGGCGACTCCGCAGCGTTTCGGCCGCCGCCGCTGAGCATCCGTCTGTCTGTCCGGCCATCCTGCCGTCCGGCCTTCTGTCCCGGCCCCGGAGCGGTCTGCCTGGAAAGCCGTCCCTGAGCCTGTCCGTGAGTCCGTCCGTGAGTCCGTCCCCGAGTCCGTCCGTCCGGGGGTCCCTCCGTCACCCAATAAACCGGCACCGCTCACCCCTGAACGCTCGCTCTGGTTTTGCCCCTGGGGGGGGGGGAATTGGGGGGGGGGGTGCGGGGGGGCACAGGACACATCCCCTTTTTCTGCCCCCCAACACCCCCCCCCCTCCAGCCCCCCCAAAAAGACACCAACGCGGGGAGTTTACAAACCCCCCCCAGCTTTATTCCTGGGGGGGCCAGTTGGTTCCAGGGGACCCTCCTCACCCTGGGGGGGGGGGGCCCAGGATGGAGGGTGCCCCCAGGCCCTGAGGTCTGTCTGTGCGGGGGGCGGGGGGAGGCGCCACGTGTCTGTCCGTCTGTCTGTCAGCAGGTCCGGGTGCCCCCCAGGGTGCGTCAGTGGAGCTGGGTGGGCATCCGTGGGTGGGTTTGGGTCGGCGAGTGGGTCCCGTCGGGAGTGTCTGTGGGTCCGGGCGGGTGTTGGAGGGGGGGGGGTTTGGGGGGCAGGGGGCTCACTTGCCCCCCGCCATGATGCGGAGGTACTGGAGGGCGTTGCGGGCGGCCTGGGAGCGGGCGCCGTCGCGGGAGGGGGCCGCGCCGTGGCAAACCGTGGCCGGCTGCGTCGACAGCTCCACCAAGCACTGGTGCAGCCCGCTGAGGCTCAACGCATCTGGGGGGGGGACACACACACACACACGCACATATGGGGTGGGGGGACGCACACACCCCCACAAAAACACAGAGGGGACACGCCACCGTCACCCTAAAACCCCCCCCCCCCCCCCAAGCCTGGGTTGGGGCACCCATGGGTGCCGTGGGGGGGGACGCTCACCGATGTCGAGGTAGCTGATGGCGAAGCTCTGCTCCTCGGAGAGCTCCTGCAGGAGGGCGCAGGCCCCCGCACCCATGGGTGCCAGCGGGTGACTCCGCAGCTGCAGGATTTTTTCGCCCGCCGAGTTGCGCAGGGAGTCCCAGGTGCAGCCGGGCGCTCGGCCCCGCAGCCCCTCCAGCCTGGGGCCCGCCTGGGGGGGGGACACACACACGGGATTTGAGGGGGGGGGACGTCATCGGGGCTCACCCGGAGTCCCCCCGCAGGGACACCCAAGGGACATGGGGGGGACGGGGGGGGGGGGGTGTGGAGCTTGAGGACCGGGACATCCCAGAGGTAGAGGGCCAGGGGGACCCTGTGTGGGAACACAGGAACCCCCCAAACATAGGGGACACTCCCCCCCCACCCCCACCCCCCTCAAGTCAGGGACTCTCCATGGGGAGCACCCCCACCCACCCACCCAGGGACCTCAAATCCAGAGGGGGTGTGTGTCGTGCCCCCCCGGCCACCCTTGGGTGTCCCATTGCCCTCCAGCTTTAACCTCTGGGGGTCTATAGGCCCTGAAACTGGGGGTACAGAGGTGCCTGTGTCCCCCCATTAACCCCCTGGGGTGACCTCAGGGTGCCCGTGTCCCCCATTAACACCCCGGGGTGACCTCAGGGTGCCCGTGTCCCCCTGTTAACCCCTCAGGGTGCCCGTGCCCCCCATTAACCCCTCAGGGTGACCTCAGGGTACCCATGTCCTCCTGTTAACCCCTCGGGGTGGCTTTGGGGTGCCTGTGTCCCCCATTAACCCCCCCTGGGGTGACCTTGGGGTGCCCATGTCCCCCTCTAATCTCCCAAGGTGACCTTAGGGTGCCCATGTCCCCCATTAACCCCTCAGGGTGCCCATGTCCCCCATTAACCCCTCAGGGTGCCCGTGTCCCCCTGTTAACCCCTCAGGGTGCCCATGTCCCCCCATTAACCCCTCAGGGTGCCTGTGTCCCCCCCTGTTAACCCCTCAGGGTGCCCGTGTCCCCCCATTAACCCCTCAGGGGGCCCATGTCCCCCCATTAACCCCTCAGGGTGCCTGTGTCCCCCCATTAACCCCTCAGGGTGCCCGTGTCCCCCGTTAACCCCTCAGGGTGACCTCAGGGTGCCCGTGTCCCCCCGTTAACCCCTCAGGGTGCCCGTGTCCCCCCATTAACCCCTCAGGGTGCCCGTGTCCCCCGTTAACCCCTCAGGGTGACCTCAGGGTGCCCGTGTCCCCCCGTTAACCCCTCAGGGTGCCCGTGTCCCCCGTTAACCCCTCAGGGTGACCTCAGGGTGCCCGTGTCCCCCCGTTAACCCCTCAGGGTGCCCGTGTCCCCCCATTAACCCCTCAGGGTGCCCGTGTCCCCCCCTGTTAACCCCTCAGGGTGCCCGTGTCCCCCCATTAACCCCTCAGGGTGCCCGTGTCCCCCTGTTAACCCCTCAGGGTGCCCGTGTCCCCCCATTAACCCCTCAGGGGGCCCATGTCCCCCCATTAACCCCTCAGGGTGCCTGTGTCCCCCCATTAACCCCTCAGGGTGCCCGTGTCCCCCGTTAACCCCTCAGGGTGACCTCAGGGTGCCCGTGTCCCCCCGTTAACCCCTCAGGGTGCCCGTGTCCCCCCATTAACCCCTCAGGGGGCCCATGTCCCCCCATTAACCCCTCAGGGTGCCCGTGTCCCCCCATTAACCCCTCAGGGGGCCCATGTCCCCCCATTAACCCCTCAGGGTGCCCGTGTCCCCCGTTAACCCCTCAGGGTGCCCGTGTCCCCCTGTTAACCCCTCAGGGTGCCCATGTCCCCCTGTTAACCCCTCAGGGTGCCTGTGTCCCCCCCTGTTAACCCCTCAGGGTGCCCGTGTCCCCCCATTAACCCCTCAGGGGGCCCATGTCCCCCCATTAACCCCTCAGGGTGCCTGTGTCCCCCCATTAACCCCTCAGGGTGCCCGTGTCCCCCGTTAACCCCTCAGGGTGACCTCAGGGTGCCCGTGTCCCCCCGTTAACCCCTCAGGGTGCCCGTGTCCCCCCATTAACCCCTCAGGGTGCCCGTGTCCCCCCCTGTTAACCCCTCAGGGTGCCCGTGTCCCCCCATTAACCCCTCAGGGTGCCCGTGTCCCCCTGTTAACCCCTCAGGGTGCCCGTGTCCCCCCATTAACCCCTCAGGGGGCCCATGTCCCCCCATTAACCCCTCAGGGTGCCTGTGTCCCCCCATTAACCCCTCAGGGTGCCCGTGTCCCCCGTTAACCCCTCAGGGTGACCTCAGGGTGCCCGTGTCCCCCCGTTAACCCCTCAGGGTGCCCGTGTCCCCCCATTAACCCCTCAGGGGGCCCATGTCCCCCCATTAACCCCTCAGGGTGCCCGTGTCCCCCCATTAACCCCTCAGGGGGCCCATGTCCCCCCATTAACCCCTCAGGGTGCCCGTGTCCCCCGTTAACCCCTCAGGGTGACCTCAGGGTGCCCGTGTCCCCCTGTTAACCCCTCAGGGTGCCCGTGTCCCCCATTAACCCCTCAGGGTGCCCATGTCCCCCTGTTAACCCCTCAGGGTGCCCGTGTCCCCCATTAACCCCTCAGGGTGCCCATGTCCCCCTGTTAACCCCTCAGGGTGCCCGTGTCCCCCGTTAACCCCTCAGGGTGACCTCAGGGTGCCCGTGTCCCCCATTAACCCCTCAGGGTGCCTGTGTCCCCCATTAACCCCTCAGGGTGCCCGTGTCCCCCCATTAACCCCTCAGGGTGCCTGTGTCCCCCATTAACCCCTCAGGGTGCCCATGTCCCCCCGTTAACCCCTCAGGGTGCCCATGTCCCCCCGTTAACCCCTCAGGGTGACCTCAGGGTGCCCGTGTCCCCCCGTTAACCCCTCAGGGTGCCCGTGTACCCCCCCCCGTTAACCCCTCGCTGGCCGGTACCATGGAGAACTGGTCCTCTTCCACCTCGGCCTCGCTGCCCTCCCGCGGCTCCATGGGGACGTTGTGGATCCGCACCAGCATCTTGGCGGCCGCGTTGCGCTTCGCCAGCTTCTTGGAGGTGCCGCTGCCTGCGGGGAGGGGACAAGGGACACCGAGGTGAAGCCTGGCGCCCTGTCCTGTCGTGTGTCCCCCCACACACACACCCGGGGGGTGTCCCGGCCCCATACCGATCTCCACGAAGCGCTCCACGCGGCAGGTCATGGTGAACTCCTTGCGATGCGCCGGCCCCGATTCCTGCGTCACCGTGTACTCGGGCAGGCGCCAGCCCTTCTGCACCACCAGCTCCTGGGGAGGGGGGGGGGGACATAAATGTGGGGGGCTGGGGAGGGCAGGGCCATGGACACCCCCCCCGAAACGGGGAGAGCTTCTCCCAGAAAGGAGCTGCCGTCCCCAAAACGGGCACTGCCAGCCCCCTAAACGGGCAGGGCCAGCCCCAAAATGGGTCTGCTGCCCTCAAAATGGGGATAACCGTCTCCAAAATGGGGATAACCGTCTCCAAAATGGGGATAACTGTCCCCAAAATGAGGATAATTGTACCCAAAATGGGTCCACCGTCTCCAAAACAGGGTTAACTGTCCCCAACATGCGGATAACTGTCCCAAAACGGGCATAAATGTCTCCAAAAGGGGGATAACTGTCCCCAAAACGGGCATAAAAGTCTCCAGAAGGGGGATAACTGTCCCCAAAATGCAGATAATCCACCCCAAAATGGGCATAAACGTCTCCAAAAGGGGGATAACTGTCCCCAAAATGCAGATAATCCACCCCAAAATGGGCATAAACATCTCCAAAAGGGGGATAACTGTCCCCAAAATGCAGATAATCCACCCCAAAATGGGCATAAACGTCTCCAAAAGGGGGATAACTGTCCCCAAAACAGGGATAACTGTCCCCAAAATGTGGATAACTTTCCCCGAAACAGAGATAACTGTCCCCAAAATGGGGATAACCATCACTGAAATGGGTGCGTTGTTGGCAAAACAGTGATAACTGTCTCCAGAAGGGGGATAACTGTCCCCAAAATGCAAGTAACTGTCCCCAAAATGGGCATAACCATCTCCAAAAGGGGCATAACTGTCCCCAAAATGCGGATGTTCCCAAAATAGGCATAAACATCTCCAAACAGGGCATAACTGTCCCCAAAACAGGGATAACCGTCCCCAAAATGTGGGCAACTGTCCCTGAAACAGGGATAACTGTCCCCAAAACAGGCAGAACTGTCCCCAAAATAGGTCCATTGTCCCCAACACAGAGATAAACTGTCCCCAAAATGGGGATAAACATCCCCAAAATGGAGAAAGCTGTCCCCAAAATGGGAATAACCATCCCCAAAAAGGGGATAACTGTCCCCAAAACAGGGACAACCATCCCCAAAACAGGGATAAACATCCCCAAAATGGGGATAACCATCCCCAAAACAGGGATAAATGTCCCCAAAACGGGGATAAATGTCCCCAAAACGGGGATAATCATCCCCAAAACGGGGATAAACGTCCCCAAAACGGGAATAAACGTCCCCAAAATGGAAGCAGCAAGAGCCTCCCCTCCCAGGCTGGGGAGAGGCCACCCCCACAGCTCACTGCCCCCCCCCCCCCCCCCCCGATAAGGATGGCCACCCCCAAAACAGGTTTGTCACCCCCAAAACAGGGATGGCCACCTACTTGGGGGGGGGTGGGGGGTGTCCCCGTTTGTCCCAACCCACGGTGTCACCCACCTGCAGAGCCCCCACGGGGTTACACTCCGACTGGGGGGGGGACACGGGCGTCTTCATCTCCAGGGGGGTGCCCCTGCGTGGGGCAGATGCTATGAGGGGGGGCCAGCTCTGACCTTCCCCCCCCCCCCAAACCATGACCCCCAGTTTGGGGGAGGCAAGGAGGTATAGCGGGGTGTAACGGGAGCTGGGGGGTTTGGGGTGGGGGGGACGGGATGGAGCCCCTCCCAGCCCAGCTCCAGCACCTGGGTGCCCCCCACCCTGTTACCTGGGCGAGGGGGGGGGCACAGCGGGTGCTGGGGGGGGCGGCTGCGGGGCCCAGCTCAACCGGGGGCTCTGGGGGGAAAGGAGAGCTTGGGGATAAAAGGTGAGACGTTAACGCCCGAGCCGGCCACCCCCCCCAAAACCTCCTTCCCGGCCACCCCCCCAGGTGCCCCAAATCCTGCCAGGCACCCCCAAATGCCCCTGGGACCCCCAGCCCCCCCCGGCATTCCCAGCCTGCCCCCCCGCCCCCCCCCCGCCAGGCTTCCCCAGTTCTTTTGGCTCCCCTATGACACCCCTAGCCCCCCCCACCCCCATACCTTGGACACCCCCAGAACTGCTTGGGTACCCCCAAGCCCCCTCTCCCCTCCAAATCCCTTGGGATGCCCAAGCTCCCCCCAATCACCCTGGGTACCCCCCAGACCTGCTTGGGTACCCTCAACCTCTCCCTGGGCACCCCCCAAGCCCCCCCCCCCAAATCCCTTGGGATGCCCAAGCTCCCCCCAATCACCCTGGGTACCCCCAAACTTCCCTGGATGCCCTCAACCCCCCTGCAGACCCCCCCCAAACCCACCAAGCCCGGGTGCCCAGCACCCATAGGGTACTCCCAACCCCCAGGGTACCCCCCAGACCACCTGAGCACCCCCCAACCCAGCACCCCAAATGCCCCCCAGCACCTCCTGGACACACTCAACGCCTTCTCTTACGCACCCAGCACCCCCCAGGCTCCCTCCACCCCCATCCTGCGCTGCACCCTGCCCCCCCACACACCCTGGGGACCCCTGTACCCCCTCACCTGGGCTCCTCGGGGGTGGTGGGCTCCAGCATGTCCCCCCCTTTGAGCAGCTTCAGGGCCACCTCTGCTGCTTTGTGCTTCGCCGCCTTCTTGCTGGGCCCCTGCCCTGGGGGAGACACTGGCTGAGCAGAGATCGGGGGGGGGGTACATCTGGGGCCCCCCCCAGATCCCCCGCAGACCACAGGTTGAGGGTCCCTCTGCCATAGCCCCACTTTTTGGGGTCCCGGGGGATCCCCAGCCATCCCAGACAGCAGGATCTGGGGCGATCCCCTGTCAGGACCCACTTTTTTGGGGCTCCAAGTGTTCCCTGAGTGTCCCAGGCATTGGGGTTTCGGGTGATCCCCCACCAGGCCCTGATTTTTTAGGGATCTCAGGGGAAAACCCCCCTCCCAAACCTGCTTTTGGGGTCTCAGGAGACCCCCTGCATGTCCCAGACACTGGGGTCCCAGGCAATCTCCCATCAGAACCCACTTTCTGGGTGTCCCAAGGGATCTCTGAGTGTCCCAGGCATCAGAGTCCCAGATGATCCCCCACCAGGACCTGCTTTTTGGGGTTCCTGGGGATCCCCAATCATCCCAGGCGTTGGCATCCCAGGTGATCCCCCACCACAACCCACTTTTTGGGGTCTCAAGGGCTCCCTGAGTGTCCCAGGCACCGAGATCCCGGGCAATCCCTCACCAGGTCCTGCTTTTTTAGGAATCCCAAGGGATCCCCCACCACAACCCGCTTTTGGGGGTTTCAGGGGATCCCTGGGCATCCCAGGGACCCGAGTGATCCCCCACCAGGACCCAATTTGGGGGGGGGGGGGGGGAGTCCAAGGAGACCCCTGCATGTCCCAGGCATCAGGGTCCTGGGCAATCCCTGACTAGGACTCATTTCTGGGGGTCTCAGGAGCCCCCTCTGTGTCCCAGGCCTTGGAGTCCCAGGCAATTCCTCCCCCAGGACCCAATTTTCGGGGTCCCAAGAGATCCCCGAGTGTCCCAAGCAACAGGGTCCTGGGCAATCCTCTCCTCCAGGCACTACTTTTTGGGGGTCCCAGTGGATCCCTCCCCCAGAACCCACTTTTAGGGATCCCCCAGCACATCCCTGTCACCCTGGGGACGATCCCCGTGTCCTCACCTGTCCCCTCCCACATCCCCAACAAGCCAGATCCACCCCAGGTTCCCCCTTTCCAGGCAGGGGGGGGCGATGAGATGGGGGACACACACACACACACACAGCTTGGAAGGTGACAGGGGACCCACCGGTGCAGCTGATGTCCCCAACGGTGACACGGAAGGTGAAGTTGGGCTGGTGGGCTTGTCCCTCGGCCTTCAGGAGGTCGTAGCCGGGGGTCTTGCCTATGCGAGTGCCATATTCCTGCAGCAGGCTGATGGGCGTCTTCCCGGGGTTGGCGGCCAGCATCTGCTCCAGGCTGGGGACAGGGCTGTCACCAGCCCACGCAGGGGTCAGAGGGGACCAGCCGGGGGATAGAATTGGGGGGGGGGGGGGGGGGGGGGGGTGGGAAGAGGAGGGTGGCGGGAGAGGCGTGGGGATGTGGGGGTAGGGGGGGGCATCGCCACGCAGCACGGGGACAGGGGGGTACTGCCAGGTAGTGTGGGGACAGAGGGACAGGGATGGCATCGCCACAGGGCATGGGGACAGGGGGGTATTGCCAGGTAGTGTGGGGACAGAGGGACAGGGGTGGCATCGCCACAGGGCATGAGGACAGGGGGGTATTGCCAGGTAGTGTGGGGACAGAGGGACAGGGGTGGCATCACCACATGGCATGGGGACATGGGGTGGCGCTGCCAGGTAGTGTGGGGACAGAGGGACAGGGGTGGCATCGCCACAGGGCATGGGGACAGGGGGGTACTGCCAGGTAGTGTGGGGACAGAGGGACAGGGGTGGCATCGCCACAGGGCATGGGGACATGGGGTGGCGCTGCCAGGTAGTGTGGGGACAGAGGGACAGGGGTGGCATTGCCACAGGGCATGGGGACATGGAATGGCACTGCCAGGTAGTTTGGGGACACAGGGACAGACAGGGGTGGCATCACCACAAGGCATGGGGACATGGGGTGGCACTGCCAGGTAGTGTGGGGACAGAGGGACAGGGGTGGCATCGCCACAGGGCATGGGGACAGGGGGTGGCACTGCCACAGGGCATAGGGACACAGGGACAGAGGCAGCATTGCCACGCAGCATGGGGACACAGGGACAGGGGTGGCATCACAACACAGCATGGCGACATGGGACGGCACTGCCACAGGGCATAGGGACAGAGGTGGCATCACCACAGGGCATGGGGACAGGGGAGTACTGCCAGGTAGTGTGGGGACAGAGGGACAGGGGTGACACTGCCACAGGGCACGGGGACACAGGGAGAGAGGCAGCATTGCCACACAGCATGGGGACACAGGGACAGGGGTGGCATCAACACGCAGCATGGGGACAGGAGTAGCACTGCCATGCAGTGACACAGGGACAGGGGTGGCACTGCCATGTAATGTTGGGGAACGGGGATGGGGTGGCACTGTCACAAGGCATTAGGATACAGGCACAGGGGTGGCACCACCACACAGCATGGGGACAGGGGTAGCACTGCCATATAGTGTGGGGGCACAGGGACGAGGGTGGCACTGCCACGCAGCGTGGGGACACAGGGACAGGGGTGGCATCACCACAGGGGGTGGGGACACGCGAGTGGCACCACCAGACAGTGTGCGGGCATTGCCACACGGCGTGGGGACACGGGCACAGCCCCGAATCCCCCTCCCACCTCCCCCCACGCAGCGTGGGGACACGGACACAGCCCTGAGCCCTCCTCCCACCTCCCCCCACGCAGCGTGGGGACACGGACACAGCCCTGAACCTCGAAGCCCCCTCACCCAGGCCCGGTGACCCAGGGGCAGCCCCGTGGAGGCGGGGGGGGGGGGGGGGGGGGGGGGGGCGCGGCCTGGCGTAGGCCTCAACCTCCCCGTCTCCCTCCGGAGGGGGAGCGGCGCGGGCTGGGGCGGGCCGGGGGGGTGGCGGGGGGTGGCGGGGGGGCTGTGCGGGGGTGCAACCGCCGCGGGGGGGGATGTTCCCGGGGCCGGGGGGGGGTGCCGGTACCTGGGGAAGCCGCCGCTCCGCCTGGCCCCGCCGCCCGCCCCCTCCTCGCTCATCCCCGCCGCGCTCCGTCCCGCCGCCCGCGCCGCCAGGGGGCGCCCGCCGCGCCGCGCCGCGGGGCACGGCGGGAAACGGGGAAGGGGGGGGGGAGGCCGCGGGGAATGCTGGGAAGGTGGAGGGCGCGGGGGGCGGGGCCACGGGGGGGGGGGGGGGGGTGTCCTGCCTCGGTTTCCCTCTCGGGGCGGGGGGAGTGGGACAGACGGACAGAGTGGGACAGGGGTGGGCAGGGGTCAGTGGATGGGGACAGGACGGGTGGGACAGGGACAGATGGACGAGGACAGACGGGACATGGACAGACGGACAGGGACAGACTGAGTGGGACAGGGGTGGACAGGGGACAGTGGGACAGACAGGATGGGAGAGGGACAGACGGACAACGGGTCAGGGGTGGGCAAGGATCAGCAAGGGTTGGTGGATGGGGACAGTGGGGACAGATGGGGTGGGACAGTGACAGCACGGGACAGGGATGGACAGACAGTGGGACAGGGATGGACAGACAGTGGGACAGGGATGGACAGACAGTGGGACAGGGGACATGGGACAGATGTGTTGGGATAAGGACGGACAGACAGCGTGGGACAAGGACAGGGGGGTGATGGGGAGGGACGGGATGGACAGGGGTCTGTGGATGGGGACAGCGGGGACAGGCAGGGCGGGACAGACGGACAGTGACGGGGGGGGGGACAGATGGATGGAAACAGGGACAGGCAGATGGGAACAGACGGGGTGGGACAGGGACAGTGGGGACAGGCCAGCGGTGACAGCGGTCAAACTGGGACCGGCTGGGGTGGTCGGGGTGGGACAGGGACAGGGGAGCTGTGGGGACAAATGGATGGCTGGACTGGGGGCAGGGGGACAGAGGGACACCCGGACTGGGGGCAGGGGGACAGGGGGACACCCGGACTGGGGGCACTGGGGACAGGGGGACACCCGGACTGGGGGCAGGGGGACAGAGGGACACCCGGACTGGGGGCAGGGGGACGGGGGGGACACCCGGACTGGGGGCAGGGGGACAGGGGGACACCCGGACTGGGGGCACTGGGGACAGGGGGACACCCGGACTGGGGGCAGGGGGACAGAGGGACACCCGGACTGGGGGCAGGGGGACGGGGGGGACACCCGGACTGGGGGCAGGGGGACAGGGGGACACCCGGACTGGGGGCAGGGGGACGGGGGGGACACCCGGACTGGGAGCAGGGGGACAGGGGGACACCCGGACTGGGGGCAGGGGGACGGGGGGACACCCGGACTGGGGGCACTGGGGACAGAGGGACACCCGGACTGGGGGCACTGGGGACAGAGGGACACCCGGACTGGGGGCAGGGGGACAGGGGGACACCCGGACTGGGGGCAGGGGGACGGGGGGGACACCCGGACTGGGAGCAGGGGGACAGAGGGACACCTGGACTGGGAGCAGGGGGACAGAGGGACACCCAGACTGGGGGCAGGGGGATGGGGGGACACCCGGACTGGGGGCAGGGGGACAGAGGGACACCCGGACTGGGGACACTGGGGACAGAGGGGGGACACCCGGACTGGGGGCAGGGGGACAGAGGGACACCCGGACTGGGGGCAGGGGGACGGGGGGACACCCGGACTGGGGGCAGGGGGACAGAGGGACACCCGGACTGGGGGCACTGGGGACAGAGGGACACCCGGACTGGGGGCAGGGGGACGGGGGGACACCCGGACTGGGGGCACTGGGGACAGAGGGACACCCGGACTGGGGGCAGGGGGACGGGGGGACACCCGGACTGGGGGCAGGGGGACAGAGGGACACCCGGACTGGGGGCACTGGGGACAGAGGGACACCTGGACTGGGGGCAGGGGGACAGGGGGACACCCGGACTGGGGGCACTGGGGACAGGGGGACACCCGGACTGGGAGCAGGGGGACAGAGGGACACCCGGACTGGGGGCACTGGGGACAGGGGGACACCCGGACTGGGGGCACTGGGGTCACGGGGGTCACTGGGGTCAGACTGGGAGCACTGGGTTTGCACTGGACCCCCCCGTGGTGCTGGGGCCGGGGGGGTCATACTGGGAGGGTCCCAGTCCTGGTCCCGGGTGGTCCCAGTATTGGGGGGGGGGGGGGGGGGGGGGGGGGTGTCCCAGTGCTGGTGCCAGTGCTGGGCCCCCAGTACCCGTATAGGGGTCCCAGTGCCGTTATGGGGGTCCCAGTGCCAGTGTGGGGGTGCCAGTCCTGATATGGGGGTCCCAGTGCCGGTGTGGGGGTGCCGGTGCCAGGTATAGGGGTCCCAGGGCCGGTATGGGGGTGCTGGTCCCAGTGCCGGGGTGCCTGTGCCGGTATGGGGGTCCCGGTGCCGGTATGGGGGTGCCGGTGCCAGTGTGGGGGTCCCCCGCTGTGGGGGTCCCCGTGCCAGTGTGGGGGTGGCGGTGCTGGGGTCCCGGTGCCGGTGTAGGAGTCCCGGTGCCGGTATGGGGGTCCCCCGCTGTGGGGGTCCCTGTGCCGGTGTAGGGGTGCCGGTGCTGGGGTCCCGGTGCCAGTATGGGAGTCCCGGTCCCGGTGTGGGGGTGTCCCTGTGCCGGTGTCCCGGTGCCGGTATGGGGGGTGCCGAGCCCGGTGTGGGGGTCCCCTGCTGTGGGGGTCCCCGTGCTGGTGTGGGGGTGCCGGTGCTGGGGTCCCGGTGCCGGTGTAGGGGTGCCGGTCCCGGTGTGGGGGTCCCCCGGTGCCGGTGTCCCGGTGCAGGTGGGGGGTGCCGGTTCCGGTATGGGCGTCCCCCGCTGTGGGGGTCCCTGTGCCGGTGTGGGGGTGCCGGTGCTGGGGTCCCGGTGCCGGTGTCCCGGTGCCGGTGGGGGGGTGCCGGTGCCGGTATGGGGGTCCCCCGCTGTGGGGGTCCCTGTGCCGGTGTGGGGGTGCCGGTGCTGGGGTCCCGGTGCCGGTGGGGGGGTGCCGGTGCCGGTGTCCCAGGGCTCCCGGTGCCGTTACGGGGCCGGTGCCGGCGGGGCCGGGGCGGGGCGGGCGGGGCGGGGCCGCGCCGAGCGCCGGGCGGGGCCGTTTCGCTCTGTTCGCCCTGACCGCGGCACCGGCCCCCGGTACCGGCCCCGCCCGCGCCCCGGCCCCGCCGGGCCCAGCCCCGGCCCCGGCACCACCCCCGGCACCACCGGCATCACCGGCCCCCCCAGGTACCGGCACCGGGGCCGCGGCGGGGAGGCCCGGGGCGGGGGGGGGGGGGGGGTAGGACCGGGGATGAGGCCGGGATGGAGGGGGGGGGGGGAGGGGAAGGGGGGATGGGGGGGGGGGGCACGTGGCCCCCTCCCCCACCCGTGGGCACCGGGGCCCCCCCCCCTCCCCCCCCGCCACACCGGGCCCGGGGGGGGCCGCACCCTCCGCCCTTACCGGACGGCCGCGTCCCCCCGGGGCTCCGGTGGGGCCTGGGAGGGGGGGGGGGGGGGGGGAGGGAGAGACACACGGACACGACATGCGAGCGGCCTCTTGCACACGCGTATGCCCCCCCCCCCATGTGTGAGCTGCTCTTGCACACGCGTGGGCAGCTCCGTGCACACGTGTGAAACACCCCCCCTACACCCCCCCCTCCTTGCAGACGTGCTAGCACCCCCCACGCGTGTGCTCCCCTTGCACCTGCGTGGGTAACACCTGCAGGTGCGGGCACGCATGCCGTGGGTGCAACCCTCCCCCCTCCCCCCCCCGTGTGTGTGTGTGGGCGCCCCTGGCACGCGCGGGCATCACCTTGCACGCGCGCGGGTGCAACCCCTGCACGCCAAGGTGCCCCCGCGTGTGCCCCCTCCTATCCCCCCGCGTGGGTGGGCACCCCCCTCGCACCCACGGGTGCGCGTGACCCCCCCCCTTTGCACGCGCGTGTGCCCCCCCCCCTCCTCGCACGCACGGGCGCGCGCCCCCCCTTTGCACGCGCGCCTGCACCCACGCGTGCGCGCGCAGCCTTGTGCACACGCGTGTGCACCCCGACACGGCTGTGCACCCCCTCACGGGCCCGTGCGGCCGCTTGCACACGTGGGTGCCCCTCCTCCAACCCCGCTCTCTCGCGACACCGCGCCGGTGCTGTCGCATGTCGTGACAAACACCCCCACCCACCCGCCCACCCACCCGCGGGTCGCGGTTTCCCCGCTTCTTCCTCAGTTTCCCCGTGCGGAGCCAAGCGCGCGAGTGGGGGGGGGGGGTGGGAAGGGGGGGAAAGGGGCGGGGGGGGAGGCTCCATCCCTTACCGGGATGACGTCACCGCGTGACGTGATGTCACCACGGGGGGGACACGACACCTGGAGGGGCGGGTCGTCCCCAACCCCTCCACACACCCCCCCCCCGTGGGTCCCTCGGGGTGACGCTAAGCCCCGCCCACGCCCCCCCGCGGTGACTCACCCCCCCCCCCCCACCTAATTTTAGTGATGACCTCATCCGCTGGCTCCGCTGTTGCCATGGCAACTCCCCCCCCCCCAATTTTCAGGGGATCAGGACTGACACCCCCCCCGGGACCCCTCAGCCCCTGGGGGGCCCCCCTCACGCGTGGATCCCTGCCCCCCCAGCCTTGCCTCAGTTTCCCCTGGCACGTTTGCACGCCGTGGGTGGCCTCGCACCCTCCTCTTGCACGCTTGTGCATGCTCTTGCACGATCGTGTGCCCCCATCCAGCCCCCCACACCCCCCCCCCAGCCTAGTGGGGTGCACACGCGGGTGTGAGGCGGGCTGTGGGGGTGCAAGGGGGCGCACACGCCTAAACTGGGGGTACACACACAGGAGAGGGGGTGCATGCATGTGTAGGGGTGCACACGCGCGTGCGAGAGGCTGCACGTGCCTGCGAGGGGTGCCCGGAGGTGCAGGGCTGCACAGTGGGGGTGCAAGGGGGGTGCACGTGTGTGCAAGGGGGGTGCACGTGTGTGTAAGGGTGCACCCAGGTGCAAGGGGGTGCCCAGAGCTGCGAGGGATGCACACACGCGTGGGGCTGCACGCACGTGTGCAGGGGGGGTCCACGTGCACGTAAAGGGGTGCCCAGGCATGCAGGGG